AACCGAACCCTGAGGGACGCCGGCCCTGATGGGCCGTACTGTCGACAAGAAATTATTAATTTTGGTCTGAAATTTCCTACCTTCAAGGAAGGATTTTAAAAGTTTTAGGAGCCAAAATGGAAATCCCTTTTGAATTAGTTTATAGAGAAGGCCCTTGTGCCACACCTTGTCAAATACCTTCGAGACATCCTGAAGCAAGATTACAGTACTTTCGTAACTTGTTCAAAAATAAAACAAACCTCATTTCATTGGACCACAAATATGAAACAAGAAGTAAAGTCGAGGATATTAGAATTACACCATTTACAACAAAAAATGTAGGTTAAAGATGCTTCAGTTACCTCTCCGCTAGATTTTATAACTTTTTACCAAGCCATATAAAATCCACTTCAAATAAAAATAGATTCAGAATTGAAATAAAAAAATTCTTGTTAAATATACTAAGTGACATATAAATCCGAACACCCAGTTTAAATGATTTTATTTTAATAAAGGTGGTGAATTTATTTATCTTACTGTAAATAACAAGTGAAAAAATTTTCAGCCTTATCAGATGGACATTCCGGTTTTTATACTACTTTTTTTTAATCCACTAACCCTCTAAAAATGATTATTTCAGCCGCAGTAAAGAATCAACGTTGGCGGATTTTGGTTCTTGACATCCTTTACGTTCGGTTACGATGCCTAGAGTACGGAGACCTGTACGATTTCGTCAACTTAGTGAGTTTGATAGGGGCCGTATAGTGGGACTTCGGGAAGCTGGACTTTCTTTTCGGGCAATTGCAGTTAGAGTGCAAAGAAGTGTAGACACTGTGGTTAGGATTTGTCAGGCATGGCTTCGAGAAGGCCGTACGCAAAGAGCAAGGGGCACTGGACGCCGCCGTAGAACAACAGACCGTGAAGATCGCCGCCTAAGATTATTGGCCTTAAGGGACCGTTTCTCCATTACCAGGTCCATTGCAAATTAATGGTTTGCAGAACACGGAAGACCTATTGGCATGCGAAGTGTTTACCGACGAATGAGAAGTTTTGGCTTGTTTTCATACAGGCCACACTGGGTCCTTCCTTTAACTCGAGAACACCGACGTAATCGCCTTGAGTGGTGCAGACAATGGTCACTCTGGGATCAGGAATGGAACAGTATTGTCTTTAGTGACGAGTCTCGATTTTGTTTAGGCATGCAGGATGGTCGTGCCAGGGTTAGAAGGCGACGTGGTGAAAGGAGGAATCCACAGTTTTTTGTTGAAGGACATGTTCATCACACTGTTGGAGTTATGGTTTGGGGTGCTATAGCTTATGGTTCCAGATCACCTTTAATCTTCATCAGAGGTAACACGAAGTTCGAGAACCCCATCTTTTACCCTATCTTGACACCCTGGCAGATCCAACTTTCCAACAAGATAATGCCCGACCACATGTTGCAAGAGTCACAATAGACTTCCTTCAACATAATGATGCCACATTGTTACCATGGCCACCAAGATCTCCCGACTTATCCCCAATTGAGCACGTGTGGGAAATGATGGGTAGGAGATTGCTCAATTTGCAACGTCCTCCTCAGACTCTAGAAGCACTTAGAGAGGAGTTGGTGGTTGCCTGGAATGAGATACCACAGGAGGACATTGACCACCTGATCAGAAGCATGCCTAGGCGCGTTGGAGAATGCGTAGCACATCAGGGTGCATCCACACATTATTAATAGTATAATAATCGACATGAAATAGAATAAGTCACTTAAATGAAAAGAAACTAGTATTTGAATATAATATTATTACACTTACCTTTATGGTCATGTTGTGTTTATGTATTGATTGTATTTAACTGTTTTAAGCAAAAATTGTTATGATAAATGTTTTCCCGCGCACAAGAATTAAATTATTCTGTGGGATTATTTCAGTTTATTTGCGTATATATGCATATTTATTTTCAATAAACTGTAATACTTTATACGTGAATAAACTTATATTATTATTATTTACTCATGAACAACACACGTTCAAATACAAAACAGCTCAGGACAAGGGTAGACAGAGACGCTTATATTTTCACAATCATTTATTGTTTGCAAATAAATATTCTATACATATCAGGCACGAATTCACTGATCACCATTGGTGATGAGCAGCAAGTACTGGCGCATGGGCAGCGTACGCATGGGCACCGTAATCATGGTGGTCGACGACTGGTGCGGCGATCACTTTGGCCACGGTCACTGGAGCTGGGTGCACGGCTGGTTCCTTGTGGACCACGGCGTTGAAACCATTGTGGTCATCGGCGGTATATTCTACGGTACGCTTGCTTCCGTCGGAGTCGACCAGGGAGTAGCTACCTGGAAGCCAAGAAACGGTGTCGGTGGATATAGTAGATATATGTAGTTTCAATTTAAATAGCGAAAAAGAAGTATGAAATCCTAAATGCGAGGTCTGTAAATTACGCGTTGAGACTGGCAACGTAGCGTTCGAACTAGCAACACTTGGTGTGGAGACAGGGGAACATGTGTACAGTACAAGTTTGAACTCGCTCGAGTCGTTTGGTTGTCCGTAGCGATTTTTTTTTGTGAAACAGTTTTTTCTATTGTGTTCTAAAACTGAGTGCTATCAGTTTCAAACAACGGTGTGCTATCAGGTTTGGGCTCAGACTTGGACACAGTGCAACTGAAACTCTTACTTAGCAGGCTTACGGAGATAGTGGATTGTCAAGAGCCCATTGTTTTCAGAAGGAAGAGAGTCGATTGAAGATGAACCACGAAGCAGAAGGCCGTCATCTTCAGGTACCGATGAAAATATCGACAGAATCCGGGATCTTGTGCATTCAGATCGTCGGTTGACAGTCAGAGTGATCACGGAAGAAATTTGAGTCTCACCATCGTTCGTCAGATCAAGAACAACTGGATGTTGCATCAAGATAATGTTCCTTGTCACACATCAATGTCAATAAACTAGTTTTTGGCCAGAAAAAACATTCCTGTGGCTCCTCAGCCTCCTTATTAGCCTGACTTGAATCCTTGTGATAATTTTTCATTTTCCTGGAGTTGGAAAAGGCAACTCATTTTGGGACAGTAGAAGGCATTCAAGCGACTGAAACCGACTAGCTGAAAGCTATTCCAGTATCGGAGTTCCAGCACTGCTATGAGGAATGGAAGCACTGTCTCCAGTGCTGTGTGACTTCAGAAGGAAGTCATTTTGAAGATAACAACATAAAATCTTAATTACATTTCTAAACAGTGGAACAACACAACAACAACATCACAATAGTGATCATAGGCGACAATAAAACCGAATGAATACAAATCTAAATAGCTTAAAAATCAACATACAAGGTGATCCAGAATGAGTGAACTAAATGAAATACATGGAATTATTTTTTTATAATGGCGGTAAAATTAAAAATGTAAGTGGCATTTGACCGGGCTTTGGACCACACTATATCATAATAATTATTTCTAAGCTATGATAGCTAAAGATGTATAGTATTTTATTCTTGTAAAACGACATATAAAGTTAGTTGTTGAGTTGCTTTTTTTAAGAGCTTTGATTTTAATTTGTTCTTATGTTTATAGGAAACATGTGTGTATGTGTTTTGTGCCAGCGCTATACGAAAATATTCTCTTCTTAGATGGTGATTACTGACCCAAAATCCCTTGAACCATCGCTGATCTCACGCCGGGCCAAATTTCGTGTTTTTTTTTGTTTGGTTATGTTGTTTCCATACATCATTTGAGATAGCAGTGTACACGGCACCTCGTGCCAATTTTCGATTGCCCCTGTGATTATTTATACAGCTAATCGGTTGTATAAGTAAATATCACTGGTCTTTAGTGATGCCGCGGCGGGATGTGCCTGCCAGACAGACCCGCTTGACTTTGGCGTCCCATCCTCACCGTGTCGAACTTCGTACATGCAGAACTGGCCGATACGACCGCTCCTTTGTCCCGAGGGTGTCGAGATTGTGGAATTATATACAAGAGGAACCTCCTTAACTTGATGAATCCTTGTTTCATTACTCTTCATCAAAAATTATGAGAATCATGATTTTTTATGTAAAAAAGGCATTTATATTTTGTTCCGGTAATTTGCATTTCACAGTAAAAAGACTGACTCGAATGAAGGAATACAGATAGACAACGTTATGTATTCTTTATTTTGACCTATCCTGAATTAGTGCCTGTCGATCAAATGAGGACTTTTTCAAATTGGTCGGCAATGGGCTTGCTAGGGTAATATCAACTTGTCCATGACAATGAAGAATCCCATGAGCATTTACTCTATAAGCACTATAAGCCCACAAATAGAAAGCAGAGTATGCTGCAAAACTCAGTAAGGTGCAAAAACACATAAATAACATCTGAATGGAAGTTATGACACCACTTGGTCGCCTCTGTGAAGGAAACGCCCTTTAACAATGAGACACAGTTCAAAATAAATATCTCCAAATAGAGTACAAGGTTCTAAAGTTTTCTTGATGGATTAGTGTTGTGTCTTGTTGACTTAGATCCCAACAAGTAACTTTTTTCACTTGAGTTGTTTAAATTAAAAGTTTCGCATTATAGGAGAGTAATCCCGAAAATTGAGTAGCGCATAAGTCAGATGTCTCTTAACCCAACCAACGACCAATGTACGGTTTTGCCAAGAACTGACGAGCAATAAAGTAATTTTAGGCAACGATATAATTTAACAACAAATTACCCTTTTGTGTTAGAAAAAGTTCGGCTACTGGCTATGACCAGGAGATTGTACACTTGCATTCTGGTTATTATGGATATTTTTTGAAGATTGAGATACCTCAAACGCAATCCTTACCAATAAAAATGTTAATTCACGAACATTTTGTTTACCCTGTGAATTCGAAATAGAATAATAGTCCAAACAACCAAAACTTGGGTTTTTGCCCCATGTTTTGAAAATAGTACCCTTAGCATACCCGAGTATCAAATCTACGAGAATCTTACCGTGAACAACATCACCTCTTCTGGACTCGTGCTGGCTCTTGGCGTCTCCGGTGTGTGGGTCGCTGACAGCGTACCCGAAATCGTAGTGAGCTGGGGCAGATGGTTCAACGTGGTGCTCCAGATGGTGGTCCAGCTCCAGATGAGCAGGAGCAGCATGGGCTACGGCGATGGGGGCTGTGTAAGCATGGACTGGAGCCACGTGATCATAGGCATGCACTGGGGCATGGGCGTGAACTGGGGCGATTGAGTGGACGTCATAGGCATGGGCTGAAATTAGAAGGATTTAGTGTTAAAAACTCCAACGATAGATTTTAACAGTACACTCGATACCTAGTTTGAGAAGGGCCAGAACTTCTACAATCTGAGACGCATTTGAGATCAATAATGGTCTCCTTAAACGAGGTATGCATAGGATTTTGTCACTACCTTTTACTTCCCACGCTTATTGGCGAGGAAGTATTGTAATTGCGAAACATTTCAAGAATGAGACATTATGTTATTTGGACGCTACACGATATGTACGAAGTGACCCAACAGTAGAGGATACCCGCTATATCTCAGCAACGACTTTACTTAGAGCATCTGTTGAAACATTGCATAACAAAAGTGGCCAAGAATTAAAATATGAGGTATATTTGAAGTATGTTTTTTTCATATATCAGGCGACGCTTACGACTCCTATAGGTTATAAAAAGCGAAAAATAAATTTCCAAGTAAGATATCTTGAAATCGTACCACATTGATACATATAGCTTGATATTTTATTTTTATCCAGTAGTAATTCAAGCATATTTTTGGTAATATCTCCATAAAGAATAACGGTATTGATCTGCGGTTTCCGCCACATTATAGGATTTTATACGCTCTTTTCGAGTAATATAAAAAAACTGTATCACCACAGTACTGACTTTCTGTGAAAATTACATCGATATCCAACCGGTAATTTCCAAGGGTTAGTTAGTAGACAGACTGACGGGAATAGATGATGTAATATCTGATTTCCGATTTTTTTTTGCAAAAACAATACTTCCTCGATGGTATAATATATGTATGTACCGAAATGTAGTAGAACTAGATAATCTCGAAGTCTTAAAAATCTGTCATTTCTGTAGATTTATTTTATTAAAAACGTTTTTGTTAAGAAGTGTGATACGTTTTAATTTTAAGATGGAAATCATCTTGTATCATGTATCATGTATCATGTATCATAGGCCATTATTAATATCTTACCTTGTGGAGCATAGGCGAATGGGGCAGCATGGGCGTAGGTATGGGCGGGGGCTTCATGGGCGTAGTGTACAACTGGGGCAGCATGAGCCAGGATTGGGGCGGCATATGCGTGCGCGTGGGCGGGGCTGTCATGGTGCTGGTGGGTGGAGTAGGTTGAGATGGCGTCATGGCTGCCTCCGATGGTGGCGTAGCCCAGGTGACCGGCGTTGGCCGCTGCGAGGAGGGCAGCGAAGGTAATGAACTGGAAAAATGAAATTCAGTATATTATCTCGAAATTATTCAGACATTTTAAGGTCACGAAGTGGTTTGAAACTTTCAAATGACACTATGTTCTAGTTCTCATCACGTAAGACAAAGGATCCAAAATCATTAAGACAATCTGTGAAACTTGAGTAAGTAATCAATAACCTGAGAGTCACACAAAATATTAAACATCAACATCAACATTAAAAATAAATATCCGGCCAAGAAACCCTTTTGCTCGAGGAGGTACAAAACCATGTAACTATGCATTTTTACATTTAATGTTGTCCTAAAGTCACGTGAAGGAAAAGCAGGAACAAGACCTATTCTAGAATAATTTTTTTTTGTTTATTTTCAACAGTTTCAGACAGCACTACCTATCAAGTTCGGATAATATACTAAGTGACATATAAATCCGAACACCCAGTTTAAATGGTTTTATTTTAATAAAATTTTGTATAAGTACTTAATGAAGCATAATAAGTAAATGATAAAAATTTCAAAATGATTGCACTGCTTTGAAGCCCTTTGATCTTTAATAATGTGTGGATGCACCCTGATGTGCTACGCATTCTCCAACGCGCCTAGGTATGCTTCTGATCAGGTGGTCAATGTCCTCCTGTGGTATCTCATTCCAGCAACCACCAACTCCTCTCGAAATGCTTCTAGAGTCTGAGGAGGACGTTGCAAATTGAGCAATCGCCTTCCCATCTTATCCCACACGTGTTCAATTGGGGATAAGTCGGGAGATCTTGGTGGCCATGGTAACAATGTGACATCATTATGTTGAAAGAAGTCTATTGTGACTCTTGCAACATGTGTTCGGGCATTATCTTGTTGGAAAGTTGGATCTGCCAGGGTGTCAAGATAGGGTAAAAGATAGGGTTCTAGAACTTCGTGGATATAACGCTGCGCGTTCATGTTACCTCTGATGAAGATTAAAGGTGACCTGGAACCATAAGCTATAGCACCCCAAACCATAACTCTAACAGTGTGACGAACATGTCTTTCAACAAAAAACTGTGGATTCCTCCTTTCACCACGTCGCCTTCTAACCCTGGCACGACCATCGTGCATGCCTAAACAAAATCGAGACTCGTCACTAAAGACAATACTGTTCCATTCCTGATCCCAGAGTGTCCGTTGTCTGCACCACTCAAGGCGATTACGTCGGTGTTCTCGAGTTAAAGGGAGGACCCAGTGTGGCCGGTATGAAAACAAGCCAAAACTTCTCACTCGTCGGTAAACACTTCGCATGCCAATAGGTCTTCCGTGTTCTGCAAACCATTCATTTGCAATGGACCTGGTAGTGGAGAAACGGTCCCTTAAGGCCAATAATCTTAGGCGGCGATCTTCACGGTCTGTTGTTCTACGGCGGCGTCCAGTGCCCCTTGCTCTTTGCGTACGGCCTTCTCGAAGCCATGCCTGACAACACCTAACCACAGTGTCTACACTTCTTTGCACTCTAACTGCAATTGCCCGAAAAGAAAGTCCAGCTTCCCGAAGTCCCACTATACGGCCCCTATCAAACTCACTAAGTTGACGAAATCGTACAGGTCTCCGTACTCTAGGCATCGTAACCGATCGTAAAGGATGTCAAGAACCAAAATCCGCCAACGTTGATTCTTTACTGCGGCTGAAATATTCATTTTTAGAGCGTTAGTGAATTAAAAAAAAAGCAGTATAAAAACCGGAATGTCCAACTGATAAGGCTGAAAATTTTTTCACTTGTTATTTACAGTAAGATAAATACATTCACCAACTTTTATTAAAATAAAACCATTTAAACTGGGTGTTCGGATTTATATGTCACTTAGTATATTACGATCCCAGATGCGGCTGTTGGCATATCTTAGATACTTTCCATAGAAAAAACATTAACAATATATGAGATTCAAAATCCCAAATTACTTTCTCCAAATCTTGAAGTCTGTGAGTATATGTGAAAAATATTCAAAATTTCCTCATTATGCAAAAAATAAATTTCAGACTTGCCAGATACTGAGTAAAAAAAGACAAAAGTATAGATATCATAAGTTAAAATAATATGAGATCTTAGCACTTTCAAACAAGCACTTGTTGAGAAGATTTTAGAAAAAAGTAGTGGAAATTAGATTAAAATTTAAATTTGTTTCGTGTTGATTGAAAAAAAAAGTACAAATACCACAAAGATCAACAGAAACTCAATTTTAAACTACGAATTTGGAAACAAAAACGCAATTATAACAATTAAAATATTCAGTATGACTGGGTTACTTCATCAGCATATTTTCAAGATTTAGCCTTTTAGTTATTTCGTATGTAAAACATAAATACGTCGTTCAATTAAATTAATTAACTTAGTCAATATTTCATAAATCTTATTGGACCAGTTTAAGGGTATTTTTTTATAACTTATTATAAAAATCTATCCTGTTTCTTCGGCTTACCTAAATATGTCAGGTATCTTACAATAAAATATTTTTTGGAAAATGCATAGTGTGAAGCTGACTGGGCTTAATACAAATGCTTTGAATTTCATTCAAAAATCACATAAAAATCGTTCAACTGCTTCGCGACTTTTTTAATAACATTTTCTACCGAGAAAGGTTTAACATAAAAGTGTTTACTTTCATATTGTTGAATGTATTGTTAAGAATATCATCTAAAATTGATCAATAAAATAATTAATTGTTCTAGATGAGTAGTTACACTGCATACAGATCTTCCGGTTACTAATTAAAAGTACCACTTGACACGCACAACAACCATAACAGAAAATCGAATACTCACTTTGAACACCATTTTCAACTGTATCCAAACCAGATTACAATGTAACAAAAATAGTCCACAGACATATAATTTATACCATGGCGAATATCCTATGAAATTTCGGTAGTAGGGGCACTGCGGAAGACACATTTGTATAACCTTTCACTAAATCAGAGTATATTATTGACTTAAGCGCTAATGTCCTAAGCTTGATCTCAAGGATGCTGGGATTTGAACAATGGCGTGTCTGCAGGGTATTGTTTTTTATTCCACGCGGTATTATACGTTTCTGTTGTATCCGCCAATCTTCAACACATTTTATGTGACAAAAAGGCGCTAAGAGACATTGACGATGTGCATTTAACCTATTGATCTATTGATAAAATTACGGAAGATGTTTTGGGAACTTTACAAAAAAATTACAGTTCTTAGAGCTTTGTTAGAAAACGCTTTGTGATATCTGTAAGTAGGCAACGCCGAAGGAATGGCCTAAGAAGATTTAATCATTATTCGGGATGCCCATAGAACGTGACTACATTTCATGTCGAACTATCAATACAACCTTAGTTATCCATGTATATACATAGAGGTTAAAAATAAAGCTTCCGCCTTTTGGGTACTTCGAAAAAATTCAAGCAAAGAGGATTCTTTATATACTAAGTGACATATAAATCCGAACACCCAGTTCAAATGGTTTTATTTTAATAAAATTTTGTATAAGTACTTAATGAAGCATAATAACTAATGATAAAAATTTCAAAATGATTGCACTGCTTTAAAGCCCTTTGACCTTTAATAATGTGTGGATGCACCCTGATGTGCTACGCATTCTCCAACGCGCCTAGACATGCTTCTGATCAGGTAGTCAATGTCCTCCTGTGGTATCTCATTCCAGGCAACCACCAACTCCTCTCGAAGTGCTTCTAGAGTCTGAGGAGGACGTTGCAAATTGAGCAATCTCCTACCCATCATATCCCACACGTGCTCAATTGGGGATAAGTCGGGAGATCTCGGTGGCCATGGTAACAATGTGACATCATTATGTTGAAAGAAGTGTATTGTGACTCTTGCAATATGTGGTCGGGCATTATCTTGTTGGAAAGTTGGATCTGCCAGGGTGTCAAGATAGGGTAAAAGATGGGGTTCTAGAACTTAGTGGATATAACGCTGTGCGTTCATGTTACCTCTGATGAAGATTAAAGGTGACCTGGAACCATAAGCTATAGCACCCCAAACCATAACTCCAACAGTGTGATGAACATGTCTTTCAACAAAAAACTGTGGATTCCTCCTTTCACCACGTCGCCTTCTAACCCTGGCACGACCATCGTGCATGCCTTAACAAAATCGAGACTCGTCACTAAAGACAATACTGTTCCATTCCTGATCCCAGAGTGACCGTTGTCTGCACCACTCAAGGCGATTACGTCGGTGTTCTCGAGTTAAAGGGAGGACCCAGTGTGGCCGGTATGAAAACAAGCCAAAACTTCTCATTCGTCGGTAAACACTTCGCATGCCAATAGGTCTTCCGTGTTCTGCAAACCATTCATTTGCAATGGATCTGGTAGTGGAGAAACGGTCCCTTAAGGCCAATAATCTTAGGCGGCGATCTTTACGGTCTGTTGTTCTACGGCAGCGTCCAGTGCCCCTTGCTCTTTGCGTACGGCCTTCTCGAAGCCATGCCTGACAACACCTAACCACAGTGTCTACACTTATTTGCACTCTAACTGCAATTGCCCGAAAAGAAAGTCCAGCTTCCCGAAGTCCCACCATACTGCCCCTATCAAACTCACTAAGTTGACGAAATCGTACAGGTCTCCGTACTCTAGGCATCGTAACCGATCGTAAAGGATGTCAAGAACCAAAATCCGCCAACGTTGATTCTCTACTGCGGCTGAAATATTCATTTTTAGAGCGTTAGTGAATTAAAAAAAGGCAGTATAAAAACCAGAATGTCCAACTGATAAGGCTGAAAATTTTTTCACTTGTTATTTACAGTAAGATAAATACATTCACCAACTTTTATTAAAATAAAACCATTTAAACTGGGTCTTCGGATTTATATGTCACTCAGTATACTTTATTAATCTCTAGCTTTCAATGGACTTTGGCATCTCCATCAGAAGAGTCGTATGTGAGATTGTTGCTAAATGTTATTAACGTTTAGGTTGAGGGAAACAACGAGTAACCTGGTGAATGCTGGATACATGGTACATTCGTCAGAATTAATATAAACTACACACAGCTGTATGTCAGGAACAAATTAAAACGGATTAAAAATATTTAAAACGAAAGTTAAAATTACATCGTGAACCACTTGATGCTGCACAAGATGGTAGGCACAGGCTTATATTAATTTTGACGAATGTATCATGTATCCAGCATTCACTAGGTTACTGGTTGTTTCCCTCAACCTAAACGTTAATAACATTTAGCAACAATCAGACATACGACTCTCCTGATGAAGACGGCAGCGTCAATTGAAAGCTAGAGATTAATAAAGTATAAAGAGTCCTCTTTGCTTGAATTTTGTCGAAGTGCCCAACAAAAGTAGGAAGCTTTATTTTTCACCTAACAGGTCTAAACGACAATGACTACGTCTCACGTTATATATATCGTGGCGTACGAAGCGAAAATTAAAAACTTCACCTTCAACAAAAATTCTTCTCCTTTGATGTGATAGGTGAATAAAAGTACACATCACTACAGCAGTCGAAGCAACATAAACGACATTGTTTCGTCCTTAGCCAGAAATGATCCAAAGAGCTCAAAAACATTTGATTAGTAAGTCTGGAACTTTTCAAAAAGTTCTGAGCCTTATTAAAAGCTTTTTTCTGTACTACGAGTGCATCCTGTTGTTCCGTTGCAGAGATTGCCCGTTGACAAAAATGATAACAGATAAACAGACAAGAGATCGTTTTGTGCTATATTAGAAAAGAAATAACAAATTGAAGAAACACTCGAGAAAAAGGACACTGCAAAGTATTTCTTTTGGTGTGAAGTGATTGAAGTGCCATTAAACTTCGAATAAGGGTGGGCTAGTCCGTAATAAACGAGCAGGAGCAGAGACAGAAGGATCGGTACTTATTGGAATGTCCAGGTCCAAATGTACACCGAAAACACCGTAGTAAAAACATATGCCAATTACATCTGGATACGGATGCAACCTGAAGGAAAACGAGGTTGGAAAAGCAAATGCAACTAGAAGCCACCAACAAGAGCCAGCAGGCACATCTATGGCTTCAGTCAGAAGACCTCGTGTTTACGAGGTATCAACCAACGTTGGTAGCTTCTAGTTGTATTTTCCTTCCCATCCTTTTTTCCTTCAGGTTACACTCAAATCTAGATGTAATGGGCGTATGTTTACGAGGTATCAACCAACGTTGGTAGCTTCTAGTTGTATTTTCCTTCCCATCCTTTTTTCCTTCACGTTACACTAAAATGTAGATGTAATGGGCGTATGTTTTCATTTCAGTCTTTTCGATGCACATCTATTTAGGCCGGATGAAGCCGATAAGCAGAAACGTGCATCGCTCAGGTTATTAATCTTTTTATTTCTGCAATTGTTACTTTATTGCGGACATGTTCAGGATTGTCCTTTGTTTTCATGTATGTTTACACAATACTGCTTGACTTTCTCTGCTTAAACTTTACAATTGTAGGACGCCTTTATGGCCTCCTTGATTTTCATAGTCGTTTCTCTCCTTCACAAAGGCTGGGGTATTTCTACGTTTCTTCTATTGCGAGATTATGTTTTGAATCTTAAGACATTTCAGGCTGATAACACAAATGACAAACATCAAGTAGGTCATAAAGGCGTCCTTCAATTGTAGGAATGACTCAGAGTCTTAGGCCCGTAGGGAGCATGGAGGTCCTTGAATAGATGTGACGACTCTCCCAATTTGTTTTCTTCAAGACCTAAGTCGTGAAAAATCGTGGTGCAGCAAGGATCAGAAGACTGACAAAAAAATTGATGAAAAATTGTCGTTCGATATCTTATTCGAAATTGATTTTAATTTTGGAAGTACTTATGATATAATGTACTCCCGTATTCGTAAAGGCACATACACTTTTTCCTAACAATATCCCAACTAGCAAAGTAGTGCTATAAGCTTTTGGTAAAAGAACCATTCACCCATAAAAGCTCTCTATTGTTGTCGCCTGAACACCAAAATGCTGGCTTAATGTGTGGAATGCAAATTTGCTTTCTGCAACATATTTGCTCTAAAATGAGGGGTTTAAAATATTCTTTAGCATAGTTATACAACACCTTATAGGACAAATTTTTAACTGTTGCATAAACGTTTATACAACTATTTTATACGGCATATTTGCACGTTAGTCAAAATGGTTGTGTTGTGGCATTCATGGTAACGTTTATAAAACAAACCCGAGCCTTGTTGTTTTGCTGTGCATATTACTACTTTAGCCAACAAGTTGCTCCCAACGGAAGCACTTATACAACTGTTGTTTAGTAACTGTTGAAGGATGTACATATGCTAAATATGTTGGTATACAACTTCACCACAACCTATCTTTCTGCTGTCATATTTTCATTAAAATGCCATAACCAATGATTTAAGACAAACAACGCATGAATATTGGTTCAAAAGGTTTTATCAACTGTTCAAACAGAAGATATAGATCTGGTACAAATTCTGGGTAAATCATTGGACTCTGTCGGTATTTCATTTCAGACATTTGTCAAATTGTTGTATAACACCTGCAGTCAACACCAAAACATTCTAATAAACTGAAGACAACATGGACGATGCCATGATTATACACAACCACCAGCCATATTGGGCAAACATTTATTCCTCTATTTAATATTAAATAATTAAGTTTCAGTTCGAAATTACAGATATAAAGTGATAACATTAGTGTAATTGTGTCTAAATATAGGATTTGTGGAAGATTAGACGCAGATAAGTTCAGTTTTCCATCTTAAAAATAAAATAAAAATCTAGACAGACTTTTGATCATTATCAAAATATGCATGAGATAAGAAGCCCGTAGAAATTGCGTAACTACTTTGCACGATAATCACAATAAAATTTGCTGCGCAAGTAATTCAATAGCCCTATATCACAGTGTAGAAGTTTATCATATACCTGGGTATGAAATTCACAATGGCCGATATCTAAGTAAACAAGATGACTGTAATGTGTTAGTTATATATTCTTCACTTCGTCTATGCAATATATAAGAAAGAGTTTGGTTGCAATAAAGTAGAATCACGTAACAGAATAGTTGTATAGTTGACAAAAACTGAATCTTGCACTGACGCAAATGTCCTGTAGCGGCTGCAAGGGGCTTACACTTTTGTTGTATAAATGTTACGTGCAGCCCTTATACAACCTCTTAAATGACTGAAGTGTCCTATTAGGTGTGCCCCTTCCGCTTGTATAGCTGTTCTAAGAGGGTTTTGCCAATGTTCTTACAGTATACAATGCTGTGTGTCCTCTTAGGAGTGATAATTGTTAGTTGGGATGTTCTATCTTGTCTGAACAAATGTGGAATATCTTGTTCCGAGATTTAGTGTGAAATAACTTCTTGGATGTTTTTTGAACCCTACATCACTTTAAACTTCCGTTGGTGTGCTTCACAATCTCAGATTTAGCATTTTGCTTTTCATTTGCTTCCATGTTTTATGAAGTACAAGTGTAGGAGTCATTACATACGCAGACGTACATTCACACTTTGAAAAGCTTCCAAAAAAGCACTCCAGTAAAGGTATAAATCAAATAAAATATCTTATGTTCAGAGTCCAGAAATTTCAAATCACCTGGCAAAGAAAAACGCAGACATTGGCACTTCGGTACTTCTAGGATTATTGTGACCGCATTAATGACATGGTACTGGTAACGATCCGATTTTCCACTGGAGTTGTATAACGCAGCAAAATACCCTTCTCTAGCTGAAGGTACCTAGCTGTGGTAAATAGTATTTTGAAGCTAGTATGCTTTAAATATTTTGGTAACGCTATTTGTATTTCGCCATAGAAAATACTATTTTAAGGAAACATACTGCCGATATAAGTTTACTGTTGTAGTTCGTTTAAGAAGTGTGTTTAATCCAAACTCCTAATAAGATGTTGCAAGGGGCAAATTTTGAGCAAGGTTGTGCAAAAAATAGTCAATTGCGCCAACAAGATCAAACTCCGAGCCGGATCTAAAATTCCTTTCGGGTCATATTATCTAATAATCAGAATTGCTGAAGATTGCTGATCACATTGTTAGATTGTAATTTGGGTCTAGGTTATGCCCCGCAATTAGAATAATCGTAACATGTCACAGGCGTTTGTACCGGCGAAAGTATTTTTTATTGCAATTGAGTAGGTACAACCACACCTGTTCTCTACTCTATAGTATATAAGTTGTCTGTCATCGATTTTTTATCAGTATTACATTCTGTCTATTCAACAAACAAACATGGCTTTCAAAGTAAGTACTGTTCTATATACAAATTACCATTTTCGGTTACAAATGACCTATTACATTATTTGTTTTCCATTTATTTATACGTTATTCACCTAACCTACTTATAAATACATGTGGATAACATCTTCATCCCTTATAGACTCGTTGCAATATATAACGGACCGCTGGTAACAAATCAAATAGGAAGTATTTTAAAAATAGTAAGATCCCATCAACTATATAAAATATTGATCATGTTTATTAATAGAAAAGCAACAGGGTTGCTTCTTAGGTCTCATATAGCAATTACCCGATTACTCAAATTTGCTGGAATTGTGTAACTTAAGTGATTTCTAAAATTGTAAGCTCAGTGCAAATTTAGCTATAATAATGGTTTGCTATTCAAAAACCAGAAAATCTACTTAATACCTATCAAGGAATAACATCGTAGTGTTGCCTCATACTTTGAAATAAGTCAATTATTGTATATGCTATTGATTAAAAAAAAGCTGCATATTTTTTATCTGCGTGAAACTATTTAGCCAGCTTTTAATGTCTTTCAATTTTTCATAATAGTTTTTGACTATTGTCTAAGATTCTTCCTACAGGTGCATGTCTGAGGTCAAGGCTTTTTAGCGTCTCTTCTCTTAGGACCTATATCTAAATACTAGGATCTATTTCCATGTAATCTTCTCCTAAATATTGCCATCATATATTGAGAAGTGCTAAGAATATTCTCAATTCGTCTCTGTCTGTTCTAGTTTGTGATCCTCGCAGCCTTTGCAGCTGTAGCCAACGCCGGTGTCATCGGCTATGAACCTCACCATGCTCAGCACTACTCTGATGCCACCGCAGTGTCGTACTCCAGCGTATCTGCGCCGGTATCTGCTCACCACGCTGCCCCAGTCAAATACGCCGCACCTGTTGTCAAATATGCCGCTCCTGTTGTTAAGTATGCCGCCACAGTTGTTAAATATTCTGCTCCAGTAGCCTACGCTGCCCCACACCACCATGAACATGAGGAATATTATGCCCCAGCTCACTACGAATTTGCTTACAATGTGCAGGATCCTCACACTGGTGAGTACTGAACAAATTTTTGATACAGAGATGTCACAGTTAATTAGGTAGTGTGGCCTAGATGCCACACTACCTAATTGTATCGCAACTTTTAACACTTCTAGACATATTTCACATATATATTACCCTTCGCGTTTTCCCTTACTTTGTTTATGATGTACACTAGCCGCTGCGTACTCTTGGGGTAACGCTCACGCGACGAAATTTTTACCTGATCAGCTGCGAAAAGGTCATGTAAGACTACTTTCTTGAGACCATTAGGGCAATAAAATTTATTGAATATAAATTAATCTGATAGGATAAAAAAAGTAGGGCTGCAGAAATTTAGGTATTAGATAACGAATAGACATTCAATGGTCTTCTGCGAATATCGAGATTTTCTGTGGAATGAAGTATCTCGTCTATTCTGGTACCTTTTCTCTAATCATATAATTTTTTCTTTAATCATATTCATCGACATCTCCTATATATGCAACAGCAGCTATAAGGGCTCAACATATACAGGATGTTAGTAAAGTATGTAGACAAACTTTAGGAGGTGGTTCTTTGCGTAATTTGAAGATGAAAAGTTCGTATAAACACAGAAATGCTTCGTTTTCAAGATACATGGTGTCAAACTTTTTTTACAAATCGGTTTTTCCTAAATATTTTAACAAACTTTCTGTCGATTTTGTTCAAATTCTGCAGTAGTATTAAGGACAGTAAGGGGCTGATTTAGTTTCCATTATCATCAAATCCAGTGGTCTCCCTGAAAATACACTAACCAATATCTTTGGCAAAAAATTTGCGCTTCAATGAATTTTTCCAATTTTTCTATTTTTTCTCGAATTTAGGAGCTAAAAATACAACTTTTGCTTTATTGCATGTTTTTGATAATTAAGTTAGAGGAAAGTCGTCTTTTGAATTTTTTTGCTCAGATTATACCTGCGTTCGGTAGAGCAAATGAACATAAAATATTTACAAATCATTATTTATTGTTGCACTGTTTTGCAAGTGGCGTTGCTCAAAGTTGTATTTCCAGCGCCTTCGGAAAAAATTGAAACATTGAAAAAGGTGAGTGGCGCCCAATTTTTTTGTCAAAGATATTGGTTAGAGTAACTCTTAAAAACAGTTCAAATAATATAAATAATAAGCACTGCTTTGTTATGTCAAAGCCAGATTTGTTTGAGTAGCAGTTATATCGCTGTTATAAATTATTACGTTAAGCGATTGTTATATGTTATCTTATTTTATCGAAATTAGTTTTAAATATGTGCGAAGAAACTCAAGAGATGACTCTCGTCTAATGTTAGTTTGGTGGTTTCAATGTTTTATTATGTTTTATTTTTTTTTCTCGCAAACGAAGCGAGATAGAAAAATTTGGCAGACAAAAAAGTTGCAGTTTTAGCTGCTCAGCTCGAAAAAGAAAAATAGAAAAATTGAAAAAAGTGGCGCACAGATTTTTTGTCTAAGATATTGGCTATGGTGTTTTTCGGGACCGCACTGGACTTGATAATTTCAAACTAACTGGGGCCAAATTACTCCCCTACTCCCCTTGATACCACTGCTAAATTTGAACAAAATCGACTGAAAGTTTATCAAGATATTTAGGAAAAACCGAGTTTTTTAACACTCTGTATCTTGAAGATGAAGCATTTCTGGACCAATGTTTATATAAACTTTTTATCTTGAACTTACTCAAAGAATCATCTCATATAGTTTGTCTACGTGCTTAAATAACATCCTGTACATCTTGCGTAGTCAGCGGCCATAACTTCAATTTATGTCCAAATGAAAAATGTGTTTTACCTATATGTAGCGTGCCAGGAAAGTACAGTTTTATGAGAGGCATCGCTACATTCATCAAGTAGCTTTATTCTTATGGATCAAAATGCTCTGGAGGTATCAGTGTAATGTGTAACTCAAACTCAATCCAGTTCTCAAAATTTAATGCAAGCTGAAAAAATACTTCTGTGCTTTCAAAAAACGACCTCTTGTTGCGAATGTAATATATTTGCCTGGCAATGATACTGAAACAACACTTTTTTTATTTTGAAAACGCATGGGAGAAAATTTTACTTTCGCTAAACAGTGTTATTTATACAAATTGTCAGTTTTGGCTTATGATGCGACACAACTTACGAGTACTCGTATATCGTGTGGTATTATATAAACCCTTTTGATTGGTAAATGAGGATTCGTTAGGAGCTAGGGCCCCACTACAGAGCCCTGTGGTACGCCGGAGCTTCCCAAAAATACATTCAACTCCTGCTAGGCAGCGCTAGTATGACTGGAGGTCAAACCATCAAATGTAGATCGGAAAAAGACAGATTTGATAGATTAAGGGAGTTTATAACCTTATACTTGACCGCCAACCTAGCTCTCGTAGCACTACCTAATTTGTATCAAGGATGTAAATATGTAGCATTCAAAATTGGTAATCAGAAACTTTTATCTGTTCTTGGTCAAAAGTTGGAGTTGCAGTTACTCCTCGTCTCTCGATCCTCACGCCATTTTTTACTTAAGTTTTTTTTTTTTGCAGGTGACTTCAAAGAACAACATGAAACTCGTGAAGGAGACGTAGTCAAAGGTATGTACTCTTTGGTTGAAGCTGACGGTACCAAGCGTATTGTAGAATACACTGCTGACGAACACAACGGTTTCAACGCAGTGGTCCACAAGGAAGGAACTCCAGTTGTCAAAGCCGCTGTACCAGTTGTTGCAAAGTACGCAGCTCCCGTGGTCGCTAAGCTAGCCGCCCCTGTTGCTTATGCTGCACCATCTCATGGACACTACTACCATTAAATTGTTGTAGAATTTGATTCTGTTGTTTTGTATATATTTATTTATTTATTTATTATGTTAATAAAGTGAGCAAACATGAAAAATTCAGTCTGTTTGTTTTATAAGTATCAGTAATGTGATCCGATAAGGCTGATACATTTCTGAAAGAAAGCACCACCAACAACACTATAAACACGCGGAATCAACTCCAACATACACTAATCCTACTATCTTTTGACCAGAAAAATAGGAAGACGACACCAAATCGACACTTGATTTTCAGGAGACACACACTTCACACTATCCTCACAAAGACTGAAAGAAGGATGCGGAGAGATATACATCGAAGAAACAAAAAGACCTCTGTCAGTAAAAATAAAGAACGTAAACCCAACACGGAACGGGTAGAAACGATTAAATCGGGGAAATTAGATATCACGCTTGGACAAAGCAGCATGATCGTGCTAAGATCTTCGTAAAGAAACACAATACGAGCCCCTTTCCACTTCAGTTGACCCAACTATTGAAATCTTAGTTTTTTTCTTATCAAACAATAAAGATGTAGCAGGGTGTTATAGGTCTAAAATATTAACAATGGATCTTTTGATAATATATAGTAGAAAGCACCAACTTTATCACTCCCTAATCAAATTTGCAGCATAAAAATAACACATGTTGCTATTACAGCAGAGAGAGAATTTCGAGGTCCACAACTCATAGGCCCACAAATTGGGATTTAGCACTTGCAAGGTAATTTTTCTTATAAAAAAAGGTGAAGTAAAAACCCTAAAGTTGCACAACTTGTTTATAGGCCAAAGAAAAGCCACTATTAACTCCACTGCAAACGAAAAATCGGTAAAAAGGAGTAGGAAAACATTTTATTGATGAAAATGTGGATACAAACAAATATTTGGCAATTTTAGAAGAATCGCTTTTACCAGTGATGCAAGAAAGTTTGACATCCGGCCAAGATTTTGTGTTTCAGCAAGATGGTGCAGCGTGCCATACCTCAAAAAAGGCTATAAAATTGATGGAAGAAAATAATGTACCACTTTTGAAATGGTTTTCCAGCTGTCCAGATCTGTCACCTATTGAAACTTTGTGGCACGAGATGAAAAAGGTTCTACAACATCCTGCTTCAAATATGTCTGTTTTACGACTAGACTGTATCTAAAATGTTTTTGATGAAATAAATTGTTTTAGAAGTAAATAGTTTCGTCATGTTTAGTTTATGAAGGCATATTTTGGTACAAATCTTGAAGTGGGCCAACTGAAATGGGAAGGGGCTCGTAGTATCGGAAAAGCGACCCTCATAATAACGAATGAAAATGTTTAGTGTTAACCAAGTGTGGAAATTAAACCAGTATGACCACCGAGTGTAAGAAACATCAAATTACAACTCGACCAACCGGAGTTACTAAGCTTCCAATTTTGTTGAATTTCATGAAGCTTCTGAATTATAAAACGTTGTTCGAGAAAAGTTGAGTTCCAGTAGCGTTTTTTAATAGAAACTTGTGGAATCTTGTCGGAAGAATCCAAACTCTTTTTCTCTCGCATATAAAAGATAGGCATGTGGGCCAGTTTTACATGGACGTAGCTAGACCAAGGCAAACTGAAGCTTAGCAAGTATATCTAGCAAACTTGGAATTAGTGTGTAAATATGCCGTTGCGGAGGTATAGCCAATAGGTAGGGCAGTGTAATCAGGACAGCAGCTCTCCAAATATGATGATTGCCAACAATCACTAATTCCCATAGTAAATCACGAAATACGTCATAAATCACTTGGTTTAGCTACAAAAACTTTTTTTTGAGTCCGGACACTAAATTAGCGGTCACGATCATGAAATGCCCCAATGAAAAACAAACAAATCTTGATTTATTCAATACATTGATTATTTCTTCCATTTACAATCTCCAACTCACATTTCAATTATATTTCAATGAATACGTACTATAACTTGAAATCATTTTAACTGAACTTTTCCGGCAACACTGTTGCACAAGTGAAAACAACCTTACGATATAAGCTCTCCGTTATTCCCTATCAATACCGGAGCTTGACGTTTTTAAGACGGAGAACGGAGGGACAGCTCGCTAGTGTGCAAACTTGGTTCGAATAATGAAAGTCATAACGTAGAAACAAAATGACCCCACTGAAAACTCTATTTACGGACACTTTTGAGGGAACATTTGACAGCTCTTCAGGATCGTTGGTCCAAGAGATTGCCCAACTGTTCTTTAATTGCAATTGAATATCATAACGATCGACATAAAAAAACATGCAAAAATTTCATAATTTTAGGTCTCAAATGATCTCCTTGTTTTTACATTTTACAAGTTGTGACATCGGAATATTGCAAACAACAAAATATTCCGGCGATGGTCATTCTACAAATATTATGCACTAACATGTTGTTAACATTGGCGAGTTAATGACTTCAATTATTGCCAATTAAAATTCGGCCAGATATTTCGCAATGGATTAAACTCAGTATTTCATTACAATATCGTATAAAAGAATTTGCTAGCAATTATATAGGCGCCTTAAATAAAATAGTCTGAGCTCCCTTCTGGCTCCCGTTAGTATGCTTCGTTCTTTTGTGCAGTCTTGCTCATTATATTCGGTAACACTTTTTCGGATACCATTTAACCATCAGCAACTAGAAGCTTTTAGTGCGCACCAGGAATGAACATAACTGTCGGTTTTTCATAAATCCAGGCATTCCATATATGTTATGTATATATGAGAAGCAGACTTTCAAAAAGCATTAAGTGCAGTTTTTACGAAATTGGCCAAAAGATGGCGATCAAATGTATAGGTTCATCTCCATTTGTCAACCGCTCCTTGGACATCCAAAACGACCTTAAATGATAAATATAACACCCGTTAATACGTCTAGACTTTCAAAGAGCGTTATTTTTTTCTGCGTTGGACAAACAAATAGACTTTGATAAGCCAGTTAGTGCATGAACGCTTTTTGTTTGTCCAGTATATTTTGGATGAGCAGCAAGTAAACCCTTTTGTTTGGACACGTGTCTCAAGATTGTAATCATGTCGTAACTTGCTTCAGTTAGCATAGTGATATCGAGTGGGTTAGATCGGTCGGACCACTATTATGGATGAAGAGGCAGTAGAAAACGAAAATGGGGTGCAACATCACGGCAGCGGCAGAAAGAAATACGGTAGATATAGTAAATTATGTTATTTGGGGAATTTTCTCATAGTTTGCGGTTTTATTCCTAGATACGATGACCCTGATCCCAACCTTGATGGTTTCGAAGTCTCCTGTAAGCATGGCAGAAATAAAAAACTTTCATGTAAGGATATTCCTTTCGAAGATCTAACAAAAGTTTTATTCACAAAAAGACAAGGTTAAGCAAGATACGAAACTGTCTCATTTAACTGAAATTGGAACTCCTAGGAGAAAGAAACGTTCAGACCAAAGCTTTACTAGAAACCGCAACATTACTGTGCATTACAATGTGTGCAGCTCCAACAGCAAGAAAAGAATTTGTCAGAAAATGTTTTTAAAAATTTTTGGTATTAGTCAGAAATGCATACAAAATATTTCTAGGCAAATGAAAGCTGGATCGGGTATTTCTGAAAATCGTGGTGGTGACAGACGTTCGCAGAAAAATGTGGAAAAGCGCAAAAAAGTGAAAGCATTCATCGCAAATTTAAAGGGGCAAGAGAGTCACTACGGAAGAGCGAAATCTAAAAGGATATATTTATCTGCAGAGTACAATATCACCATACTACATAGGCTATACAATGATAGCGTTGAAGAAAGCTATAAAGTAAATTACAAGTACTTTAGTCGCATTTTTTCGAATGACTTTAACATAGGATCCGGTACACCGGCGACCGATGTTTGTGGATTCTGTACGCGGCACCTAAATCTGCTCTCTATGGTGAACGGCCAACGCGAAAAGCAAACTGTTATTACAAATTTAAGAGTACATAAGTTACGAGCAAAGCAGTTTTTTAAAATAATGAAGGAAAAATCTGAAGACGGCAGGGTATTCTGCTTCGATCTTCAGCAGGTACAACCTCTCCCTAAAGTACCGATTTCAGAGGCATTCTATGCACAGCAACTCTCCTTGTATGTTTTCTGTATCACAGACATACCTTGCAAGCGACCAATTTTCTACTCATGGTTAGAACACCAAGCAGGAAGGGGTGCCACAGAAGTTGGTTCTGCTCTTTATGATTTTCTCAGAAAGACTGAATTTCCAAAAAACTTGAAAGAATTGACGTTGTTCTCTGATGAATGTGGAGGCCAAAACAAGAACAGTCACATAGTTTACATGCTAATGATGTGGCTACATAAAGAAGCACCAAAAGGCCTGCAATCTATAAGAATGGTTTTTCCAATAAGAGGTCATTCATACCTGCCAGCGGATCGCATTTTTGGACGATGTGAGAAGCTTATTAGGTCCCATAGCACACTAAAGTCACCAGAAAAATACTGGGAGTTGTATTCTCAAGTCGGATTGGTTCGAAAGCTTGGGACTGACTGGAAAATATATGACCTGAAATCCGCTTTGTCCACTTTTAAGAAAATCGAATCAATCAGTCATGCTAAGCGAATCTTGATAAAACGGACTTCAAAACAACATGTAGCGGTGAAAACAGAAACCTTTTACAGAAATGACGATGCCAACGCCAAGTACTTGACGACGTTGTTAAAAAAACAAGAAGATTGAAAACTTGAGTTTTCCAAGGTTGCCTTTGAATCATGAAATAAAAAGGACAAAGTTGAAAAGTCTGCATAACCTTTTGGTGCAGCTATCCACAGAAAGATGGCGTGAGGATGAGGAATTGCAATGGCTTCGTCCTATTTTTCCAGAGCTCCTTGAAGAGCTACAAGAGAATAGTGAAGACAATGATGAAGATAATGCCCAAGAAGTATGTAACTGCATTGAGGATGATGGTGGAGTGAAAGTTTGAATATTTTTCTCTAAGCCTATTTTTTATAAGATTGTATTCATCGGTAAATGGAATAAAGGTATTTTGACTTAAGTTGTTAAGTTAAGGGCTGACTCAGCTGGTGACGAGTCCTACTTTTTCCCCCGCGTCTCGTCACACGCCAGTAGCCTGCTGGATCTCTTTCTGACCACGCATCCTGCCCCTTACAGCACTGCTGTGCTGTCCCCCCTAGGTATATCAGACCGCGGTGTTGTGGAGGTTAGGTTTCGGTCAGAACCCGCTGTGGCAGCAGAAACTCGTACAGGCCGCAAAACTTGGCATTACGGACATGCCGACTGGGAGGGGCTCAGAGATTTCTTCTCTAGCTTTCCTTGGAAAGATGTCTGTTTCACTGACTCTGTCTGTCTGTTCCTCGATAACCGAAATTATCCACGTTGGAATGGAGGAATACATCCCTCACACAGTGAAAGTGCCTAGACCAGGGTCCAACGGCTGGTTTAACAAATCGTGTGGCGCTGCTCGCGAGCAGAACATCAAGGCCCACAGAACCTTCTTACAAAACCCCACTGTAGAGAACAGACAAGCCGACGTTGAGTCCAGAAACAAATATAAAGCAGCGGTTCGCAACGCTAGAAACCAGCATGATGTAAAAGTTAGGCACAGGGTAATGTCGCAGCGCAATGGTAGTCGGTCTTTCTGGACGCTGGCCAAGCAGATTGAAAAGAACTTCTCACACAGTAGCCTTCCACCACTCATGTGTCAGGATGGCATTATTGTATTCAACTCAAAGGCCAAGGCGGAAGTGCTAGCCAAGATCTTTGCTGCCAACTCCACCATGTGCCGTCAATTCAAAGGGTTCCCTATACTATGCGGGAGGTAACATTCAGGCCTAAGACCGTAAGACGAGTGCTCTTGTCGCTCGACATCAACAAAGCTTCTGGTCCGGACTTGATTCCTGCCATTGTACTGAAGAGGTGTGCACCGGAGCTTGCTCCAGTTCTTTCGCGTCTCTTCCAGATATCTTCAGGGATGTAAGACCGACCCTTACAACTACAGGCCTATAGCTCTGCTTTCTGTTTTAAGTAAGGTGATGGAGAGGTGCATAAATCGCGAGCTTCTGGACTACCTCGAACGTCACGGCTTGATTAGCGACAGGCAGTATGGTTTCCGGCACCAACGATCCACAGGGGACCTCCTAGCTTACGTCACTCAATTGTGGAGTAAACTCATCCAGTCTTATGGTGAGGCTCATGTCGTTGCTCTTGACATCACGAAAGCGTTCGATCAGCTGTGGCACGCTGCCTTCTTAAGCAAACTTCCATCCTATGGCCTCCCAGAAAAGCTTTGCAGATGGGTGGCTGACTTTATCTCTGGCCGCAAGATATCCGTCGTAATTGACGGGTTCTCCTCTTCATCCCACAACGTCAACGCGGGTGTTCCCCAGGGATCGGTCTTGGCTCCGACACTGTTTCTCTTACATATCAACGATCTCCTTTCCTGCACGATCAACCCAATCCACAGCTTCGCTGATGACAGCACTCTACATGCAGGAATTCAGAGTGACAAGCCGATCTCTGCCGCTGAGTTGGAAAAAAGAAGACTAGCGATGACTTCCTCTCTGACAAGATACCTGGAGGCTATCACTGCTTGTGGACGCAACAATCTTGTACAGTTCAATGCTTCCAAAACGCAGTACTGTACTCTGACGATCAAGAAGCGTCCCTGCGCTCACCCGGTTTCGATGGATGGTCGAGTTCTGCCAAAGAGCCATTCATTTCGGCTGGTCGGAGTCCAGATCACCGAGGACCTGATCTGGCACGAACACATCTCGTCAATAGCTGCAGCTGCTGGAAAAAAGCTAGGCTATCTGTTTAGGGCTAAGAAGTACTTTTCTCCGCACGGCGGGCTGTCGGCGATCTGGCTCTTTCTACCGTTACACCAACGGGCTTTGCTCCTCGGAGCTCTCTTCCATGATGCCGTCGCGCGATGTGCCTGCCAGACAGACCCGCCTAACTTTGGCGTCCCATCCTAACCGTGTCGAACTTCGTACATCCAGAACCGGCCGATACGACCGCTCCTTTGTCCCGAGGGTGTCGAGATTGTGGAATAATCTACAAGAGGGGGCTTTTCCCAGTTCTATTAACCTTAGGCAGTTCAAAAATCGTATTGATAAAATTTCTTTGGGATCATCATAGCAGCAGCGGTGTTCCGGCAATTGGGCTTCTGTCTGCGCGGCTGCTTCGGTATAAAAAAAAAGTTACCGTTTCCCAAACAGAAGGACTTATTTCACCTTCGGACAAACAAAGTGCATCAAATAGAATCTACTTTTGGTAAAAAAATGGAATTTCTTTGTTTTCCAGGTAATCCTCCTTCACCATCAAAGCCTATCTATTTTCGTGGTATTTGATTCACCAAAATCAAGCATTTGCAGCTACGCATGTTGTCACAGCAGTAGTTTCCACTTTCCTCAATTTATGTGGGTCATAGCATAACGCTTTGTGAAAGTCTGCTTCCCATATATACTCGTATACTGGCTTAGTTACGCTTCGATTACAAGAATATTGGTCCAAACAATGTGGCGCATCATGTGCCTGGACATGTTCCAAAACAAGCGTCTGCGACAGTGACTGAGCTGCGGACATTTCGGAATTTGTATGGATAAGATGTGGCAGATATAGTAGTAAATGTGCCGCTCGCGTTTTGTGCAACATAGTAGTCCAGACGTTTATTTTGACAATTTGGGTATGTTGCGGCACGTTTACGCTGTTAAGTGCGTTTCGATTCTAGCAAATTGGAGACAGATGTTGCCCAACATACACCCGTCCCAACTTAAGCTAAATTGGAAAAATACGGCTTTTGCGCTACTAAAAATCAGCGATTCCTATTTTCTTTTTTCTGACAAAGAACAAAGAATATTTCTTCCAACTTTTCTCTAAAGCGACCGCTCTCGAGCTACTAGGAAAACAATTTATTTTTATGCTGGACTACTAGACACTTCCTAAGAACCCATGCACAGTTTCAAACTTTAAATTGGTCGTCTTTCTTCAACGATTTGAGGTAGAAGAACTAGGTATTGTCCTAGAAAATGAGTAGTAGTGTAGGCTGAATAATTTCTGTTAGAGTACTGAACGGATATAAATTTTATAATGCTATAACAAATATGTCAGGATCAACAATACTTTAACAGATCACTAAATTTAAATGTCGCACAGTGGTCTAGAACCTCGAAGAACTGGCAAAAAAGACAATTTCTACGTCACTTATACTTTCATATCATGGACTTTTTCAAAAGAATCCAAACAGTTAAGTCCAACCGCATGCCATCTGTTATTTCTGGTTAATGAGTCAGAATCAGAGATCAGTCAGACACTATAAGGGCATCTGAAGGTTATTTCAAGGTCACCTCAATGACTACTGCAAAATAAGCCCAACATTTAGGACTAGACGCGTGCTACATAAAGTTTTGTGGTCGTTGAATCAAAATCACAGGTTAGTTTGTCTCTAAGAA